CTCCGCCTGGTCGCCTGGAGACTGGCCTTCCTCGGCCCGAGGAAAAATGTCTTTCTTCAACTTTCGTAAGATCTTCAAGCTGGGTGGTGAGAAGAAGAAGAAACAATACGAGCACGTCAAGAGGGATTTGAACCCTGAGGAGTTCTGGGAAATTATAGGAGAGCTGGGAGATGGTGCTTTCGGTAAAGTGTTCAAGGTAAGGGCAAGTCGACAACTCAAATCACTTGCAGTATTGCTCGCAGCTAAAAAATAACTTGTAGTATTGCTTCTGAGTCCGATGCTGTCTCAAGCTGGCCTGTCTGTGAGCTCTTGTCACCTTGGGATACCTGTTGTAAGCATCGAGTTTCCGGAGAACTTCCTTAAGCAGGTAAGCGCTGCGCCCACCTGCCGCCCCGAGAAAGGACATGTCCCGAGTTCCCGTGGTGTGCAGAGCACAGCGTGTGATCCAGGCGCCTCTCGTCCACAGAGGCTCGTTAAACTAAAGATAGACAAGACCTATTAGGTCATTGTCCCGCCTTCTGCTCCACCCTGCCGGTTGCTGAATTGCTCGCTTCTCCTGTATTTTGTTGGGTGGTTGTGGTTTGGGTTTTTTGTTGTTTTTTTTTTTTTTTTTTTTGGGGGGGGGTGTCTCATGGACACTATGGCTTCTGGTCTTACAAAAACTGTATTTTCGTAGGTGCGAGGTTCATACTTTTGTTTTTTAAAGTTTCTCTACGGAAGGAAACCCATGAACAGTAAAATTTACTTGTGTGTCTTGTGTGTAGTTTATAGGGCCAAGCTCACATCGCTTTTAATGGGCATTCTCCTATCTTGTTCCATATGGAATTGAATTAAATAGTTGAGTTATCTTGGCTTTCTTTACGTGGCACAATTTCTGTTGCTGGGTCTCCTAACTTCTGTCAGTTGTTTGATGTTTAAATTTTTAAGTATACTAGTACAAGTAGTGTTTTTAAGGATGCTTATCTAGAATTTGTCAAGCAAAGTAGAGAACAATGACATAGATATAATGCTGCTAGTGTTTGACAAGACTAGCTTTCACGCAATTCTTTAGCCGCTTTTCCGCCTTCTAAAAGAGCATCAGTGCTTCATGTTTGGTTTAGGGATAGTGTGGAAAAAACATCATGGAGAGTAAGCATGAGAGAGTCGGGGAACTGACATGAATTGAGACTCTGGTTCTTGAAACTAGAATAAAATTGCATGAGAAAGAATAGTATTTGCAGTGTTACTGCATTTGAGAGGTTATGAAATCTGGGTGTTCATGAAACCTGTGCTATTTTTGGTAGAAATTATTTTAGATTTTACTGTACTGTGGTGTTACTTGTTTGTAAATTTGAGCAAAAGTGCCACAGTTAGTTCTGAATGTTAGGTGGAGCTTTTTTCACCCTAGGAATTTGTGTCAATGTTCTATTTTAAGAGCATCTAGTTTATTTTGATGTTGGTGTAATACATAGTCTAGGCGGTTGTTCTTATGTCAGTGTGAAAGATGAGTGATTTTTTTTTTTTTTGACTGAAATGACTGGGAAATACATCTGAAGTTGCTATATCCTAAAGCTTGATGGCTATAAAAACATAATGTTGTCTCTAAAAGCATTTGCAATTAAAGTTTTTCTTTAAACTTTATACTGGAGTTTTGATTCCCTTTTCATGAATATAATGCTCTGTCCCATAGACATGACTGGGGAAGCCTCAAAGGCACAATACTAAATACTAAACCTCTTCTCACTTCATGTTTATTTGTAGGCATGTCTGTATTAGTAGTCTGTAGAGGAAGTTGTCTGGGCAAGACAACTGGTAAATTCTACATTTCAGTGTACTTTGTGTACAAGAAGAGTTTTTTCTAGTTGGATGTGATTTTTCACTTTGAGATTTATTTCAGAATGTGAAATGACAAAGTGTAAACTGCTGAAATTGAATTTTTCAAAATTAAACCCTCTTTTAAAAATAATAGCAGTCATAATTACACATGCAGTTACATTGGTAAACTTGGTGAATGTAGCACATGTGAAAATTAACAGGTACTGGATCTCCTGGGGAAAAAAAAAACCATTAAAAAAAAAAGTCTCCTACTGCATGTATTCAGCAGCTTTCATTTTGTTTCCATCTAGTTTGAGAACAAGGATTACACACAGATACTGTGCTTGTGTTCCTGCATCTGAGCGTGCTTGGCAAGAAACTGTTTCGAAAGCAAGGGTGTGTTAGGTTGTTCTTTCTTGGATATACAGCTCAAATGAGAAACTGCAAGAATAGCCATTCAATACCTTCTCAAATTTTGGAATCAAACCTATAAACTGGAACAGAACTGTCAACTTTTGAAGACTTTGTCTTTAAGTAATGCAAGTGTGTATGTGTGTGGGGGTTGGGTTTTAATTTTTTGTATCATGGGGTTTTTGTTTTGGGTTTGTTTGGGTTTGGGTTTTTTTTGGGGGGGGGGGTTTTACTTACCAAAAATAAAAAAAGACCCCAACACCCTAGTGTCTGTTACATTTGTCAAAACTACATTTGCCTTTGTTTAAGATCCTAGGAGTCAGTGTGTGACAGGGTTTTGGCAGATATATGATAAAATAGAATTGCCAGATAAATAAGGGTTTGTATACTTTGGACTCCTAATAAAACATAGGTTAGATTGGTTACATTCTATGATTTCCCATAGAGAAGTATTTGGTTTAGTTGTGCAACTTGTCTTCTGGACAAAGTATCAAATATTTAAATAAAACTCAAAAGCAACTCTTAAATGATTCTGACAGTATTATGAAGCCTAGCTGATTAAATTATTCACATTGGAAATACTATGTCTAGTGATAACTACTTTTGTATGTGATTCAAACTTGGGTTTCATTCCCCAATCAAGGGTGGTGCTTATTTTTTTAATAACTTTGTTAGCCAAATTACTAGAAGAGCCTTATTTTATTTCCTTTCTGGCTGTTTGTTCTAGTTTTCTAAAGCTTTCTTAGCTCTCACAATTCATACATTTGTATTCACTAAGTAATGTTTAGAAATACTCGACTGCTGTTGCAAGCCTCTCTTGTGATCAGAGGAGCTATGTAACTGCGGACTACTGATGGCAAAGGTTTATGGTTGTATAGGACTTTTCATTCTAGCCCTTTTCAGCCTCTTCAAAGAGGCCACTTTTAGGCTGTTTTCTTTTCTTTTTGCTCTTTGCTAATGAATAATGGTGTAGTTTTCCTCCTTATTCAGCTTATAGACCCTTGCAGTACTTCAGTATCAGGTGATGGCCCTTACAAAGAGAATTTTGAAGTTGATGATGATAGATTTTCCATTAGTTTTAAATTGCCTTTCATGGTTTATTTAGAATTACTGAATGGGCTACCCCAATTACTGAAAGCCACTGAAGAAGCATAATATTATCATTGGGGGCTGATTTCAACTTTGAAATTTGGATCTCAAACTACTCTTTTTTTTTATGTTGTGGTTTGGTTTTTTGGTTTTGTTTTGGGGGTTTTTGGTGGTTTGGTTTTTTGTTTTTTTTTTTTTTTTCTTTTTTAGGAGGAAGATTGAGAGATTGAAATAAACTTCTCTTGATTTGATAAGGTTAAGTCCTTTGAAAAACTCTTAGGCTCATACTGTTAAAGTTAATTGTAATCGGTTTGCCTTAGAAATGAGTTACATTATTATATCATGTTACTTTTTTTGTGTGTTATATTGCCCCGTTGTATCAAATGTAAGTTCAGTGCACATGGTAAATGTTGCTTTAAGGTAAATCAGTATAAGTGTTAAACTGTAGTCACTTTAAGTAACCACGTGAAGACTTTCAGCTTTAAGCTGCTTTCTAAATTCCCAGAACTTTATGTTCAGGTGGTGTGAAAACAGACCTTTAAAATGCCTAATGTGTTCTGTGGCTCTCGCTAAAGTTCCTGATTGAGAATCTTTATCATACAGATGCACATAACTAATTAAAATGTGGATATCTTCCTTAGTTAACCTTTTGAAGGAAATAAAGTGCTGGGACTGTATTTAGTAAAATTTGCCAACCTTTTTTGGTAGTAAGAACATTGTACACTAATACAAGAACACTTATATTGCAGAAAGGCATTTTCCTAGTGTTTAGTTGGTGTCATCTCTGAGCCCTTCACTACAGGATATTCCTCCAAGAAATTCATGGCCTTTTGGCAATCATTATGGTAATTATGACTACCATCTGTACAAATATACTAATTTTAAGTCTTCTGCAGGAACAGATTCTATACCGCTAGAATATATGTAGCAGAATACTATGTAAGATATAGGGTATCTATATATGGTATTTATATAGAGAGAATATATAATGTATATATATTTTCATAGAAATTGACAAATTGTTATTAGAGAATCCTCTGTACTTGTCTGGTTTTGAATTGCATTCATGCTTCTTAGTTTGAATTGGAACATTCTACCCATTTATAGTATCTCGTTTACTACCCTGAATCTAAGATGTTGGAAGCGTTGTGTATACAAGAGTCTCACAGGAATTTGGAAAATCAAATATTTGTATTTCATCTGAAGTTACGAAGGCAAGTTTTCCAACTCTCAGCAATTAACTGGTACTTGGTTAAAAAGCCTATTCTGCTTTCTCTTTAGGTTCACAGAAGAAATGTTGTGGAAGCTGATAGCCATAATCATAGTCAACAGTATTACCAAATGCTTTATCTTCTGAAAATTACAACTACATTAAGTATTCATATATACTTATATTTGCAATAGTGGCCGATACAAACTCATCTCTGGCTAATGATAGTGGACTTTTGATAATAGTGTTTCTTCAAGTCCAATAAACTAATGATGTTGCTTCATTTAAGTTAATCTTATGTTTCTGAATTTAAAACAATCTTACCTGTAATGTACCTATCACTTAGAGGAGACCTTGGTTTTGCCTTAATGTCTTCTATAGCAGGTAGAAACAAATAGAATTTTAAAATAGTGATTTAATAGGACTGGACCAATTATATCATTTAATAATAGTGTGGTCTTAACTTCTTTTAATGCTAAAATATGAACTGATAATTGGTGGCTGCTTGAAGTACCTTTTGTGTACCACTAACACCATACCTTATCTTCTAATCCTAGAAAATACTGTAATTAGTCTGACCTGAAAACAAAATCAGGGCAGAGCAAGGAGAATTTATATTTCCTAGTTTCCGTGTCCTTACAGCACGTTGTTGTAAATAATTCCTACAGTTGGATATTGCAACCTGAAGTTAT